TAAAGAAATGTGGTCGTTCCTGTCCCCCAGCCAGGTGAAAGACTTTGTAATTGCTGCACACGGGGTCTCCCTGTCCTGCCTGAGGACAGAAGTGACTGAATGCCAAGATTTTCATCCCTGTGTTTCATCGCCCAGCTCCAAGGGCCAGGCTGACGTCATGGAGCGCCCAAGAACTTCAGGAAAACTAGTAAGCTTCAGGAGAACCAGTAGTGCAGCACTGAGAAGTCAGGCTGGTTTATAAGGTCGGCATTTGATGCTCTGTGGTTTTTGGTGCTAGGCTCGAACCCAGGACCTGCCGCCTGCTACTCCAGCATGCTGCAAATGTGCATCATCCCCAGCTCCCTCCTGTGGTTCCTGAAAGGACTTTTACTTTTCTCTTATAGTGAGGGGAGCAAACATGGGCAGGTAAATGGCAGAAAAACGGCAGAAGTGGCTCTGGGAATGTGAAGGCAACAGATGGCAGAAGTAACTTTGTCCTGGATAAAGGAGACAGGAAGGCAACCTTAAAAGATGACACCTAAGGAGACATGAGGAGGGGGCCTCTCACCCAGAAAATAAAGTTCAGAGGTCTTTCTCCTAGCTCAGGGAGACAGAGAAGCATCTTTAAAGACAGACATCCAAGGAGATGGAAAAAAAACCCAAAACCCAGACCCCTTAAGGAAAGTAACACAGCAAACTTCCCCAAGAGAGCAAAAGGGGGTGGTGGACATAAATGGTCTCACCAGGGTAACAAGCAGTAGTCATAAAATGCAGGTGACAGGCCTCAAGGACAGGATGGACTAACAAGACCCTCCTGCAGTGTACAGTCTGGTAAGGGTTGGGGGGAAAGGGAACAACCAGATGGATGGGTTCAGCAAGGCGTTAACTAGACATCCAATGACAGATGTAACTTCGAAGTGGAATAGAAGGCGCCTAAGTCAGGCGGAGCCCTATATTGCCTCTTAGACTTCAGCTACCCTACAGCTTAGTTCTTTCACTGCGTCCACCCGGCAGGGAGCTTTGCTGTCCTTTCAATAAACGGCGTGCTTGCTCTAACTCTTAACTCCCGGCCCTGCGTCTTCAATCATCAACTTTGCCAGGACAGGAACTCGGAACAACTCTCTAGTATTACTAGGACAATTTTCCTTATTACACCCCACTCCAGCATCGGGACCCTCAGGCTTCTCTTCGTGGTGCTAACACTCAGTCTCTCTTAAGACTCTTATGACTGTGTGTTCGCAGTTCTATGCCCAAGCAGGTTGTCACTTCAGGGTCGGGAAGTCTCCTTACCGCTCATGAGCGTGAGGGGGACCCTACTGACACAGACCCCTCCCCTTAGAGGGGCAGCAACTCTGTAGGAAAAGTGCATGAAAAATAATATGGCTGCAGCAAAGCCCACACTGTCGTGTGGGTCTGGGGGCACAGAGATGAAGACAGATGATGCAAACCAAAGACCTTCAGTCCACGTGCAAATATTTAGAAATTTCAGTCGACTGCAAAGACCAGGAGATGTATGGCATTAAGGTGGTTTTGGGGGTTTGACACGTAGCTGATATTTTCATAGCGTGAGAAATGCCAGGCTGACATTAAGCCGTCTCTGCGATTAAACGTCAAGGTGCAGAAACTTCTTCAAGAGACTTCAGCACTTAGGGTCGTGTCAACTTAACAGACATCCACACCGACTTCCTTTTACTTAAACATGCCAAATGAACTAGGGAAAGCAGACTCAGGAATCAAGGCGGAAAGGAAGTCTAGAGATTGGAATACGGTCATGGACTCGCCTTACTTTCCCATCTTTTCCGTGGGCCCCTTGCTGACAGCGAGCTTCAGGGACTGCCTCCGACTGCCTCTGACAGCTGTAGTTACTCTGTTCGTATTCTCTCACTCGCTTAGCTTGAATTTGGAAAATTTAAAGTAGGATGAGAACCATTCAATTATTTTGTAGATTTCTTAACTTTTAAAAGTATCTTTGAGGGGAGAGGGACGGGGTGGGGGACAGGGGGGAGGGGGGAGAAATGGCCCAATGTATGCACATATGAATAAATGAAAAAAAAAATCTTTGAGACAGGATCTTGCTGTGTAGCCCAGGCTGGCCTCGGATTCAAGATCTTCCTGCTTTAGTCTCCAGAGTGCTGGGATTACAGGCATGTACCACCATACCTGGCTACATTATCTTTAACAAATAAGCCAAATAACTAAATTAATATGTTCCTACTGCTTTTAATAGTAACGCTGGACTCCAAACAAATCAGATAACTTGGTGTCATTTTAAATGAAAGTTTATTCTTTTGTTCACCTCCCTCTTAAGGGCTTACTTTGAGCCCACTGTACTATTTCAACTGCTGCTATTTTGGAAGTAATTCAAAGAAGTTCTTTTTTTTTGTTGTTTTAAAAACAAAGTGTCCACATTAGAGATAATTTTGAGTTTAAATAAACCTTTGTCTTTCCAACTATGTGCACAGCACTGCTCCTCATTACTTGGGGTCACTGAAATCCCATGACATCCTCTGAAAACCGTATCTCCTGCAGTTCATCTTGTGACTTTTCCTTTCCTGTTTCCTCTTTGCAGTTCCCTTTTCTGCAGCAGGGAGAATGAGGATGGTCAAGTACTGTGGATTCTGAGGCTCAGAATCAGACAAGTTTATTCTGACCTCTGTAAGCTTTAACAGGCATTCAGAAACTCTTTTTCCCAAAGAACACTGACTCCTAACTTGGACCCACGAGATAACTAAAAGCAGAGAAAACCTCACATCTCTGCTCTTCATTTCACCCCTGTCCCCTTTGTCTGAAAACTTTGGGTCATCTGGCCGCTGAACTCTGCACTGAGGCATGTGACTCACTCCAGGAGTGCCTGTCTGAAAACTGGTGATGGCTAACCTGTCTCATCTCCCTTCAAACCCCAAGGCACAGGGGACAGTTTTGTGACCCTCACAGGGCCTTTCATTCCAGATTCCTACAGCGCCCCCTATCATCAGGAAGCAGTTACTGAAGAAAATCACCTCCAACCTTTCACCCCATGGAAATGGGTTGATGACCTCACAGTGGGGATCTGGAGCCTAGCCTGGTCTCTGGACTAACTCCATTGGCCCCTCTGGCTCCATTTTTGCCTCTTTGACCTTTTCCTCCTGAGTCTCTCCTGTAGTCACCTTGGGTTCTAGGAAGGACAGGACTGACGATAAACATCTTCATGAAAAAGTCGAACCTACCCTCTAGGCGGCAATGACTTTCTTGTCTTGACAAGTCCCCACCATGAACCACACCACAGTTTGACCAAGACAATTAAACTGTGCCCCCACCCCCACTCCCGCCTCTGCCCTTCCCAATATAATCTGCAGGCTCATGTCAGTACCCCAAAGACGGTCTTGGGGGGTCACTGAATCAATCCCTTTACTTATCCCAATGTGGCAATGTTGATGAAACCCCCTTTCTCTGCCTTTACATTCTGGTCTCTTTAATTGTGTATTGGAACAGGTGGCCAAGCCTAGTCTGTCAAGATGCCTGGAATCCAGTCATATGCCCTAAAACTCTGGTAACAGGTCAATGACAGGGGCCACTGTGCAGCCACCAAAATTCCTTGATTTAGCTCACAAAATGCTATTTCTGATGCAAACAAAAGCTGTGAGACCTGCCTGAGCAAGACAAGCTGATTTTGGGGGGCTTCAGCCTTTTAAATTTAGGTTGAAAAAAAGAGGACAAGTCAAACATACCAAGAGACACAAGCACCACAGACTAGTGCAACACAATGGATTGCTAATTCTGTTACCCTATTGGTATTTCTCAAATTTATAAGTTTGGGTCACAAACTTATCAATCCTCAGCCTCCCAAGAGCTGGGATTACAGGCATGCACCACCATGCCCAACTCTGTCTTTCCATTATTATTTAAGCTCCTGGAGTCAAAATGGTAATGGACACATTGTGTTGTTTTGCATTTACCAGTACAAAATAATAAACACCGAGAAGCCAGCGTTTGCTAGTGTTTTGTTCCTGGATCACACTGACTCTTTCAGCAGGGCTGTTCTCTGAAGGCAGGAGACATGGGGACATGATGACAAGGTCCAGGGTCACCTCCGAAGGCCAGGGCTGGCAAGCCCACCTCCGCTCTCTGACCCTTTGCGGGAATCCGGACCTGCTCCCGGGTCCGGGACTGGTACCAGTTCAGCATCTCGGAGGTCATCGCTGCTAAACCCAGCCCAGCCCGCCGGGGTCACCACCAGCTGCACCAGGGCGATTTGTATGCCTTTGTCCCTGCGGATCCCGGACACAGGTCAAGAGCAGGACAAGGGCTCACCCTGCGGGGTCTCCTCTCTTCCCGTCGGTGCTGTCCATCCCCACCCCAGAGCCCATGGCCCAGCCTGGGTGAGGGAAGATATGATGTTCAAAGCCCGGGACTCGATCTACAGGACGTGGGGCTTTGCCCCGGAAGCAGCAGGTGGGCTGGGCGGCCCTCTGGTGGGCACAGAGTTGGGTGAGCGAGGCCCTGGACCTCGGAGAAAAACCCCAAACCGAGAGGATGAACCTCCCACGTTGAATTAAAGAGCAGCGGGCTCTGGGCGGGGTTTCTGGCCCCGCCCCTCCCCGTGCTGTAGCCCCGCCCACCGCCCTCCCACTGGCCCGCCCCTCACTCCCCGCCCACTCACAGTCTCCGCCACGCCCCCTTTTCACCCGGCCCTTCGCTCCGCCCCCTGCGATGTTTTAGCCCCACCTATCACCTCCCCCCTCGCCCCGTCCCGTCTACCTCCTTCCCACTCGCCCCTCCCCTCGTCCCCCCTTCCCGTCACTGTCACCGCCCCCGCCCCTTTTTCACCGGCCCATAGCCCCGCCCCGCTCTTCGCCCCGCCCAACTTCGCTCTCACCCAGCTCCATTTCCCCCCCCGCTCTCGCGTCGCCCCGCCCCTTCCCCGCCCCTTTCCCCGCCCCTCCGGCTCTTTTCCGGCCGGGCTGCGCGGACGCGGGCGCCCCCCAGTGGCTGCGTGGCTGCGCTGCTCCTGACCGGGAGGCGGAAGAGGAGGTGCGAGCCCGGGCCGCGAACATGGCGGAGCTGGTGCGGGAGGAGCTCCAGGCCTTGGCGGCGATTTTCTGCGGTCCGCACGAGTGGGAGGTGTTGAGCCGCTCAGGTGAATACCCGGCCGTGGCCTCCGCTGTCCCCGCGGCCGCAGTTGGGACCCGGTTAGGGAAGGATGGAGACCGGAGCTGGTCTCCACCCCACAACGCGTGCCCTGGCCCGCGCTGCACACCCCAAATCCAGCCCCGCGCATTGACATTGCCCGGTGTCTTCGACAGGCACCACGCACCTGCCGTGATGGCTCTCACCTGTCCAACTGCTCACCTCCCCAGTGCCCAGCACCTGCAGGTCCTCGGGGTGTTTGTCGAGTGACTCACAGGTCACGAGCCTGTGAGGAGCCCTAAGTCCTGCTGCGGGGTCAGAGCGACCCCCAGAAGGAAGTGCTGAAAGGAGGACCGCGGTTTCTTAATACCGAGAACTCTGGGGCTGGAAATTGAGCGTGACTTTCAAGTCGTCCTCCTAATTAATTTGATTCAATAAGTAATTGAATTATGAAAGGATCAGCCTAAGACACTGTGTTGCCAGGAGACTCACTGGGGTGAGCTCAAGTGGGGTGCTTGGTGCTTGGTGCTCACGGCTGTTTGCTGAGGGGAAGGTGAGGGTGCTTTCTCTGACATGCTAACCATGCATCAGGTTCCTGGCCACCACTCTGGCTGTCCCTGTCACTTTGGGATGGAGGATTTAGCACTCAGCACCATCAGTTCCTTCCTGATGCCTGTGGCATTAGGACCCGTTGCTGAGGTTGCCATTTCCTGGGTGAGGACAGCCTGGGAAGGTCAGGGTGCTGGCCCAGGTCAGCCAGGCCGAGGGGACTGAGTGAGTCTCAGTGTAGCTGACTTCGTTTGTGCTACGAATTTTCTGGCCTTTCTGTCCATTTTGACCTCTGTAAGGGTTGTAATAGAGCTCACACTCAGAGGCACCAGGAGTAGCAGATAAAGTGACCCCCATACTCTAGCTGGGAGGGTGGACCAAATCCATGGCCTTCTGTCCCTCCCCATGTGGTGTAGACAGCCCAGGTCCAGTGTGGTCACTGCCCCTCCTTCTGTGCATCCTCTTGATGCCTGCACTCAGCTTCTGGTCTGCAGAGATCACCAGAACTGGTTAAGTGACTGCAGGCTGTAGTGTAAGGACCTCTCCTATATCAAGCTCTCTCTCTGTCGTTTTGGCAGACGTGGGAATTGAACTCAGGGCCTGGTGCTGGGCAAATGCTCTAACCCTGAGGCATCACCCCGTCCTCTGTAGTTTGGTTTCTGATAGGGTCTCATGCTTTTGCTCTGGCTGGCCTTGGAAGCTGGGATTACAGGTAGTTGTCACCAAGCCTGGCTTGATTTTTGAGATTAGGACCTTGCTGACTTTGCTTGGGATGGCCTTCTGTGTCCGGAAAGAGAATTTAGCAAGCACCCAGACAAACTTACGACCTTATGCTCAAAACAACCCCAAAGTGTGCGTGCACCTGTGAGCCAGGTGAGCCATTGCTCTGTGTCTTCTTCTCCTTCCTGGGGCCGGAGAGCTGCTGTGCCAGTGCTTGTCCACAGGCCACAAACGTGTGACGCGGGAGGTGTGTAGAAGTCTGTATCGCCTAGTACGTTTGCACAGCAGCTTCAGAGTGGGCTGTCCAGTGTATGAATGCTTGTGTCAAGTGCAAAGTAGGTCACCACAGTCGCACACAGACCCTTCCACCCACGCTTCCAGCATATGTGAGAATGCAGCTGAAGTATACAACAAGCACTGGTGGCGCTGTGTGTGGCAAGCGGCCCGGGAGTCAGAGGGAATAACCTGCCACATGAGGTCCAGAAGGTGCTGGGCTCCACGTGGTCGTGAGTCTCTGAGGGTCTAGAAACACTGAAAAAGGAAAGGCGTGTGTAGGGACTGTCAGCCTGCACGCTGTGGGAGTGGCTTCTCGCTGGGCTCCCTGTGAATCCTGAAGGACTTGCTCTCAGACCCAGTGTCTGTGAGGGTTTCTGCTGTGTGTTACAGGCCACGAAGTAGAGCGAAATCCTAACCTTAACATTAGCGCAGGCCTGTGATCCTAGCTAATGGGGAGGCTGAGATCAGGAGGATCAAGGTTCGAGGCCAGCACAGCAACTAGCTCGTCTCCAAAATAACCAGAGGAAAATGGCGGTGTGGCTCAAACAGTAGAGCCCCTTCTTTGCAGGCAGGAAGCCCTGAGTTCAAACCCCAGTCCTGCAAAAAAGCCATTAGAGTGGACATAGGTAGGGTCGGTTTGAACGTCTCTTGTCTGGGCGCGGTGAGGAGCACATTTCTGCTCTGTGCTTTGAGGAAGGACAGGCTTGAACCTGCTCCAGCCTGTGACTCAGGAGCTCGGAGCACTTACTGTCGTGAAGCAGAGTGACTTATAAAAAAGAAAGAGCTGCTGAACAGGTGCCTGCACTTCGAGCAGAGGGTCAGACCTGCACATGGCAGGGTCGTTGGGACAGACACAGTGGCCTCGGGGTTTGTGGACGTTTTAGTTTGCAGTTGGGGGCTGGGAGAGGCAGAGAGCAGTTGGTTTTCTGCCCGTACTCTGTGGCTAAGCTGTGAATAACCTGGAAGCAGGTGGGAAAAACACACAGTGCGTGTGACAGTCACGCAAAGAAGGACAAGGACCATTCTAATTGCATATAGAAACCGAGGTAGGCATGAGAGGGCAGGACGCGCAGGTCTAGTTTTAGGGAGAAATGAGTTTAAAAGACTGATTTATCCCCATGGACCTCAGTGCAACGAGACAGCGTCACCTTGTGCAGTTCTGGTTGGCAGCGATGGCGAGCATGTGGGGCGGGTTCACCGAGAAGATGAGGAGTGTCAGTCCGTCCTGACAGAGACCCCAGTCCGTGTCCTGAACGTCGGCTAGAACTCACACTTCCAGTTTTCTGAGGAAAAGGCTGGCTCCCACTGCCTTTCGGCTTCCTGTCTAGGACCAGAGAAGACAGAGGGCAAGGAAAGCTGGTGAGGGTGTGCGTGGCTGGCTGTCCTCCTGGCAGCTGGCTCACTGCTCTGCCCTGGAACCCCTGGGTACTTGTGCTGTACGACAGAGAGGGGAAACTGTGCGCTTGGATTTTTCTATTTCCTTTTTCCTCCTTCTTCTTCTTCTTTCAGATAGGGTCTCACACTGTCTTTTGCCTGGGCTGGCCTCAAACTGCAGTCCTCCTACATTCTCCTGCCGAGTAGCTGGCACTATAGACGTGTTCCAGTATGCCTCACCTGGCTCCAGGGTTTAGATCAGGAAGGGGAAAAGCTTGACTGGGCACTGTGGCTCCTGCCTATAATCCCAGCTACTTGGGAAGTGCGAATAGGAGAGTCAGGATCCAGACTAGCTTGGGCATAAAACACTAGGCCCTCTTCAAAAAATAACTAAAGCCTGAAGGGCTGTGGGTGTGGCTCACATGGTAGAGCTCCTGCTTGACAAATGCAAGGCTCTGAGTTCCAATGCCAGTACTGGAAAAAAAAAAACAGAAAGGGAAGCTTGCTTTGTAGGCCACAGATAACTCAGTTTTCTGTGGCTGTCCTAACAAATGACCACAAATGGTGAGGCTAAACCAGCACATTTGAGTTCTTAAAGGTCTGCAGGTCTGAAATCAAGTTGGCAGGGTCTGTGATTACATTTAGACGACAGGGTGGTCCAGGACGAGGGTCGTAGGCCTGGGGTGTGCACGATTTTGGGTCCAGTATTTAGCCTGCTGCTCTGTGAGTCTATGACTCCCGGCTACTCGCTCGATCCCAAAAACTGAATATCCCCCGTGCAGCTGAGGTGCTCCAGTGGGCCTCCTCCCCTCTTCTCCATCATTTCGGTGATGAAGCGCCAGCTGGGCTCAGCCGCAGTCGCCAGGGTCTGAAAGACTGAAGCACACAGCCCCACGGAGGTGTCAGGAAGGCTGCAGGGAGGTTGAGAGGGAAGGAGGCACTGAGTGACGGTGACTGGAATGGTGTTGGAGGAGGTAGGGCTTGTGTGCAAGGATGACAAGGACAGAGCACTGTCAGTGATGGATGGAGCCCTCCCCAAAAGCTGCAGCCAGAGGCCACCAGAGCTTCAGCTGCGGAGGAGACAGCTCCCCAGGTGGAGCAAGCCGGTGCTGCCCACCGCACAGGAGGTGTCCTTGTCCCTTGTCCAGGAGGTGGCAGAGGTGGAAGTGTGCACACAGTGGTGCTTGTCACAGCCGAGGAGCGCTGAGTTTAGGGACCCTGAAGTCCTGGGAGATGGAGGCTCCCTGGGATCTTAAGACTGCACGCACAGTGGGCACAGGAGGTTGGCCGCAATTCTGCTCGCTCCTTCTCCTGAGGGAGTGCATGGTCTTTATTACATTGGTCACCAGAAATGTGACCTAGAGGGAAGCACCTCCAAGGCTGGCTGTCACGCACAGGTCCTTGAGCCTTCCGCTCGGAGGACCTCCGAGATGCCAGCCCCTGGAGTGCGCACCTCGATGTTCGTGTACGTTACACGTATGCGTAAATAATGACAGTTTTAGGTAGGAGAGAATCCATGAGTCAGTGACAGCATCTGTCACCCAGAGACCTGTACAGTGTCCGGGGCCAGGAGTGTGCTGGTGAAATGTTTGTTACACATGAATGAAGGTTTTTTTTGGCAGTACTGGGGTTTGCATTGAGAGCTTGTTAGGCGGGGCTCTACTGCTTGAGCTGCACCTCCAGCTATTTTTGCTCTCATTATTTTGGAGACTGAGTCTCACTTTTTGCGCAGGCTGGGCTGCAATCTTCCTGTTTTATGCTTCCTGGTAGCTGGGATGTGGTAGCATGCACTACCACACCCAACTTTTTTCTGTTGAGATGGGGTCTCACAAACTTTCTTTGGCCTGGCTGACCTGGCACCACCTCCTGATCTCAGCCTAGTTTGGGATGACGGGTGTGCCTCACCATGTCCAGCAATTGCTTGAGATGAGGGTCTCGCTACATTTTTTGCCTGGGCTAACCTTGAACTGTGATCCTCCTGATCTCAGCCTCCCAAGTAGCTGGGATTACAGGCATGAGCCACTGGTTGCTGGCTGTGAATGGAGATCTTGAAAAGTTATACCTTCTCCTTGAGAGAGACCATGGACTCCCCGATGATCCCTGGAGAGTCTGTTCAGCCTGATGGTCATGTCTACTGGCTTGCTGGTGATCGTCGTCCCACACAGCAGAATGTACTAATTGTCTGCTGGGTACAACAAGTACATTAAAAGAAAGATTAACTCAATGAAAGAAAGAGGAATTTTGAGAAATGTGGTGGATTTTAGATGGAGGTACCTTGCCAAGTTTGGAAAATTTTTTTGTCCACAAACTGTCATGCAGACCGTCACATCCACAAGTGTGAGTGATCTGAGTGTGGTCTTTGGGGTGCTGACTGTGTTTCCAGGTGATGGCCTACACTGTAGTCCTTGCACAGACACTGCATCTGTTAGAGAGGAACTGTTGCTGAAGTGCTGGTCCTGCAGGAACAGGGTGGGGGGGGATGTGGCTGGGGGAACAATGGCTCCTACACGCAGTGGATCAATGTCCAGGAAGCAGGATCCATTTCTGTGGGGGTCTGTCACATGGGGGTGCACTCGGGTTTTGGTGGAGGCTGTTGGAAATGGGGACGAGAAAGTGGAAAAGGCCGGGCAGAAGCAGGTCCACCCTCAAGAGATGCATTCGCCCCGCTCTGGTCTCTGCTCCTCTCCCCTGCAGAACGCGTCTGCCTGACGTTTGATCGCCTGAGAGAAGTGGGGGGAGGCCGAGCACATCCCAGAGCACAGAACACTTCCCCGCAGGTCCCTGTGTCTGGGGGCCGAGCAGTGCCTTGTTGGCCCCTGGGTCACAGTGCCTGGTGCACCGATGCTCATTTTGGTGAAGAGCAGGGCGGTCCAGGCGACCTTCAGTTCATTACTGACTTCTGTGTACATGTCATTGTTGTGTTCAGAACCGCCAACTCAAGCTGAGGATGAAAAACGGTTTTGGTAATTGAGTGAAAACAGGTGGGAGTGAGTGTGTGGCAGCAGGTGTGGGTGGGGTGTGCCCGAAAGCAGGAGTGTCCCGAGCTGTGTTTGCGGTTGGAAGATGCAATGCATAAATCACATCTTTCTTAGTATTGTGTTTCTTCTAAAATAACTCTGCATTTCCCCTGAGAATTAAATCGCATTTGTTAGACTTACCATTTATTAGTGTTCCACTCGTGTGGCATTACCCGTAAGTAACGATCGCTTTGGATGCCTTCCAGAGACAGATGGGACTGTGTTCAGAATTCTCACGCGGGCCCAAGGACTTCTTGATGCGGACACGCCCTTGGAGCTGGTGTTCCACCTGCCCGTCCACTACCCTTCGTGTCCACCCCGTGTTGCTGTGAACTCTGAGCCTCTGACCCGAGCCCAGTGTGCAGCCGTGGAGGAGAGGATGCTTGAGCAAGCACAGAGCCTTTTGATGGGGCCCATGGTTCACGAGCTGGTTCTGTGGGTTCAGCAGAACCTCAGGCACATCCTCGACCAACCAGAAACTGGAGGTGGCCGTCAGAAGTGTGCTGTGTCAGCGAGCGCGGCCACGGCGGGTGACGGACTGTGGCTGACTCTCCTGCACCTGGACCACATGCGAGCCAGGGGCAAGTACGTGAGGACCGTGCAGAAGTGGGCTGCAGACCTCGGGCTGACGGGAAGACTGATGTTCCTCGGCAGAACAATACTGATCTTGCTCCAGGGGGAGCGCAACAACATCAAGGTGCCGAAAGTGAGATGCTGCCTGTGAATCTGGCCCTAACACGGTGTCTGGAAGTGTGTTTTCTAACAGTGGGGTAGAGAATCAGGAAGATGTTTCTGCATGACCACGTCCATGGGTCTTCATTTTCTGTTTCGAGAATGTCCAGCTCCTTTTGCAACTGCAAACTTGCAAAGCTTAAGAATAAGATCACATTTTAAAGGCCGTGCACTTGGTGGAAGTGACAGGCTGTAATCTTAAAGCCTCTGTGGCACCTGTGCTTGCTCTTACAGCTAGCCACGAACTCTACCGTGTGCTAAGAGTTTGTGAGTATTGGTGTTTCTTTCCATAGTTAGGCACAGCAAGGCGCACATTTGTGGATAGCCTGCAAAATTTGTAATTTTCTGGCAGTTAAAAATACATCCTGCCACTTTAATTTTGTGTCTCTAATATGGGGAAAGAAGCTTATCCTGTGTAGCCGGGTTCAGTGTTAGTGGGGTCATTAGGACTGTCACCCTGTCACCTCCCACCTAACTTGTGCTTTCCGCCTGGCTTGTCTCAGCAGGTGCCTTCAGAGCCATCATCTCCACATTTTTCAAATTCTTATTCTAAACTCCTCTAAGCTGCTTTATGAGGGACCAGACAAGGAAAACTGCTTATTATATTTTCACTATCAAAAGAGCTACAAGTCACTTAATAAACCTTACACTTCCAGATAGGTTGGGTCAGGAATAATTACAGTAGGATTTATTTAAAACAGATGTAGTGTGAACAAGCTGTAATCTCAAAGATGTGTAGAATAATAACCTAGCTCTCCGAGGTGGGCTCTTACCACAAGACTCCTTTGGCATTTGCTTAACCAGGCTCTTGCTAGGTTGCAGTCTGTAGATAAAACAGTAAATTAGATACAACCTGTCTGCTGGATTGGCACCTGACCAGGGAACCCCGGATTGGAAGGCAGTTTCTAGTCTGTCTGTACACTTTGATCGTTTTGGGGAAAATACTAGCTGACGAAAATGAATGCACATTTCATTTTCTTGCTCTTATTTACCCCAAAGGCTCTGTTTTTTCTTTAAACCAACTTGGGCTTCCAAGGATAAATGCAGTGTTTTGTGGGTGTTTTTCCTCAGATCAAATTGTCAATCAGTTAGCAAGTATCTATGCAGACGATTAGAACTCTGGTGATGCACAGAAGTGATATCTTTCTAAGAGCTTTTTTTTTTAACAACTGTCTCCAGAATACCAGTTTACGTGACCTTCCCTGTTAGGTGGGTGTGAGATTCCTTACTAGGATCGAGGTGCATGTATAGATGCCTCCGTGGCACGTGCCGGGTGCCTGATGACCTTGTCCCGTTGGGTTGGTAGTAACAGCGGTGACTCGCCCTGTGACATGCGTGTGCCACTGCACTGTATCCCTGTGAGTACTTAAGTGAATTACCCCCTTCATCACCAGAGCTACCGAGGAGGCAGGGCCTGTCATGAGTCTGTAGGGACAGGTGGATGGAGGCACAGAGGGTTTGCTCGGAGCCTGTAGGGAGCACAGCCCAGATGCAAACTTGGGCTCCTTCTGCTGGGACGGTGAGAATGTCATCTGCCCCGTGTAAAAGCCCAGCCAGCCCTGCTCCTCGACTCCGAGCGCGTCTAGGCGTGAAAACCAGCCTGCAGGGCTCCAGCTCCTCCATAGCAGGGCCTTGGGTCAGGGTGAGACATGCGTCTAACTCGCTGCTTTATCGCCTAGGACTACCTGGTTCTGCAGAAAAGCTCCAAAGTGGATGTGGACTCCAGTGGGAGGAAGTGCAAAGAGAAAATGCTCAGCGTCCTCTTTGACTCAGAAGCGCAGAGGGAGCACAGGAGGTACAGGACTCAAGGCAGGTGGAGGCGGGGAGGCCTCCGAATCCTGGCCCTCATGGCCCTCTCGTGTACCGCAGGTTTCTGGAGTTCGAGGTCAAGGAGTATTCTGCACTGGACGAGCTGCGAGCGGAGTTTGAGGCAGCCGGGCTCTCCAGGCTCTTCTCCCAAGTTCTGGGGCTGCTGAAGTGAAGAGGGCGCGTGACAGCGCCGCAGCGGGTCGCTGGCCTCGGGACTGGCTCGCGGGAGTGGTCGTAGCAGCACTTTTAAACTTTCTCTGAAGCAAGACGGCCTCGTTTGCTGGAACAAAGCAGTCTGTTCTGTGGAATGTTAAACATGGCAAGACCCCGTATGAGCTAATTTTTGCTAAGTTTACTAGCTAGAACATTATTTGGAAGATAAATAAAAAAGATGATAGTAAGTGACTCCTCGTTTTCATGTGGACTGTTTGTGTGGAACTATGCAATTTTCTGGCTAATTTTCTTGTAATTAAATGAGTTTTAAGTATGTGTTTTCATGTTTATTTTTCTCGTGTTTACTTTTTTTGGCATTTACTCGTGATTCTTCCCCATTCAGCTTATTATGTCTTGTGTTTTAAGTTGAATGTAAGAGAAGTATAATAATGCTGATTTCTTTATGGAATTACATAAATTATTGGTCCAAATAGAACAAAACAAAGAAATTCTATAGAACCTGGGGCTGGGTGTGGTGAAGCATGCCTGCAATCCCAGCTACTTAGGGCATAGAGATCAGGAGGATCGTGATTCAAGGCTAGCCCAGGCAAAACGTCAGCAAGACCCAATTTCAACAAATACTCCAGGCACGGTGGTGCATGCTTATAATCCCAGATATGTGGGAGGGGAGTTAAGAGGCTCACTGACTGAGGCCAGCCCTGGGCAAAAAAGTGTGACCTACCTTTAAAAAAAAAAATTAAAGTGAAAAGGGTCTTGAGTTCAAGCCAGTACCAAACCCCCTCCAAATTCTATAGAGTGTAAGCTACAATTGCTTTCTTCAGGGTTTCAGAATAGCACAGTGCTTGTGGGCTGTGGGGCTAGAGAGGGAATCTAAGGCGGGAAGCACTTGCATTTTCTCCTCACCAGATCCAACATCTTCTTTAGTGGGATGTTAAGATGAACGCAGCCCTTAAATACTGAATTGTGACAGTCCTGAAGTACGATGGAGCCCTGATGGGAAAGGGTGTGGCCATACTTGCCCTGGTGGCCTTTGCAGTTGACAGAAGGCACAAAGCTTGGGCCAGTCAAGCTGGATACCACGCACTCGGAGCCCGCTGGTTTGCTCGTGTGAGGCTGACTGCGTTTGGAGGAGCAGTCGTGGTTGGAGGCACTGCGACCACAGTTGACAATCTACAGTAACTCTAAGTCCCCTTCTGTGAGCCCAGAGGTGTCAAGAGGGACGCAATAGCAGACCGGCAAGAACAGTCTTCTCAACTGTGGCTTGGGATGATGGGGTGTCCATAGGGAAAAACAAATGAACATGGCGTCCAATTCACACTGTACTTTGGGTTAATTGCAGTGAGTTACAGTCCTATGTGGGATGACAAACTGTTTTAGAATAAAATGAATTTTTGCTGACCTTTGAGACTTTCTTTATGTGGTACTGGGATTTGAACTCAGGGCTGCACACTTGGTAGGCAGGTGCTCTACCACCCAAGAGATTGTCTTGAGCAAAACCCAAAAGCAATAATCTTTACAGAAAAGAGTGATAATATGTGCTCCACACAGATTAAGAGCAACTGTTCCCTGGAAGATAATAAAGAGAAAGGCAAAACATGGGCTGGAAGAAGGTGTTTGAGCATAGTTTTGTTGATCTAATTTCCAGAAGTAGATAAGACAACAAAGATGGGTACAAGAATCTTCAGTAGGGATTTTCCAACTAAGAATATCCAAGTGTTCAGAAAACATGTAAAGGTGCTGACCCTCGGTAGTAATCAGGAAAAATGCAAATTAAAATCACAGTAATACACCACTGGTCACTCAGCGGAATCGCTGAAATTTATTTAAAAGATTGATAACAAGAGCTGGCAAAGAAGTAGAGCAATGGTAGTACTGTGCACCGTTAGTCAAGTACCTGACCCAAGTGCTCCAAATCAACACCAAGGAAAATGGAGGGTTCCACGCGCCATGGCCTGGCAATTGTATTTGTAGGTGTAGAGCTTGCACAAGGGTGTGTGTATGATACACATTCGTAACTTTTTTTTTAGTGGTATTGGATCCTGAACTCAGGGCTTTGTGCTTGCTAGGCATGTGCTCAGTCAGTCAAGTCACACCCCCAGTTGTGTTTGCTTTAGTTTCAGTTTTAGAGAGGCGCTTATGCTTTTTGCCTGGGCTGGCCTCATAGGAGCCTCCTCCCGTGTAGCCAGAATCAGGCACATGTCACCATGCCTGGCCGACAAGGTTAGTTTCTAAAGACCCAAATGAAGCAACCCAAACATCCATAAATGGCAGAATAGAAAGTAAATGGTGGTCCACTTACAGAGTGGACTACTACATAAACTAAATGTGTGCATGGCAGCTACATGGAGTAATGCAGATTCATCTTTTTCTTTTTTAAAATCAGTATTAGACCAAATGAAGCAAACACAAAAGGATATAAACTGTGATTCCAAAGGCTCAAAAGCAGCAAAGCCATCCTAAATTAGGGTGCACACTTAAGTTTTAAGTGCTAAAACTGGAAGAGTACAAGGAAACGGTTCTGGCTGTCTGGATGGCTGTGACCGTAAGGAAAAGGGTGAGGCTGTGGTTAGGAAAAGGCAGGGGAGCTGGGGGCCTCTTCTTCCTCCCTAGGGCACTGGTTTCTCAGGCATTTCGCTGATAATTCATTAACTTACATAGCTACTATAATTTGTATTTCTGTATTTCTTCCCCTGTAAAATAGGTTTGGCTGAAAAACCCCCAGATTTATATTTATAATATTTTTGGTAAATAAGAAAAATATTTATACTTCTTAAATATTTATAACTAATATAATTTTTTAATCCTAACATTTGGCTTAGTCATCGACAAAATTGTAAGGTAGGTCCAGAAGGGGAGACTATTTTGTATGGTAGGGAAATCTCTAAGGAGGTGACATTGCAGTCAATACTTGATGACAAGGGACCAACCACAGGAACATGAAGATGGTTTGGTTTAAAGTCTGTGGTTGGGTTGAGTAGTATCAGTTACTGGTTTTGTCATCTAGTCTAATTTTGTTGAGCCATGGACTAAGTAGTTCTTGTAGTGTTTACACAACTGTGCCTGCACCTGTTCAGCCTGGGCTCCCTTCCCCATGGAGACCCCTGTGCCCATACCTGGGCACACTGCTGTGCACTTCTGAGCACGTCTCTGAAGATAGGAATGTGTGGGAATGATGGTTAACTCGTATGCATATATATATTTATATATATATATGAATGATGGTTAGTGTTGGTTGACTGGGTTGATAGGTGCCTAGAGAACTGGCAATGCCCACTTCTGGGTGTGATGGTGAAGTGTTTCCAGAACCCATCGCCCAGTGGGTCAGTGAACTGAGTGGGGAGACCCACTTGGAATTGGGCTGCACCATCCAAAGGGTGGGGCCCGGTGAACACCAAGCAGAAGAAGGGACGCCTGCAGACACCCAAGGCTCTTCTTGTCTTGAGCAGATGCCTTCTTTGCTGTTGCCATCACCTGTGATCACCCACAGACGTGAGACTCCCGAGTCTTCAGTCTTTGAACACTGACCAGCACCAGTGACCCTCCAGCCTCGGACAGGGGCTGCATCCTTGGTACCTCTTGTCTTGTCGCAACTGTTTGGGCCGAGAAGCTTCTGTTTCCTGTAGCTCTCCGCCTGCAGCTAGTCATTTTGGGACTCTCCAGCCTCTGATCATGTAAGCCATCTAATAAATCTTGTAATTATAGATGCATTCTGTTGACTCTGTACTCCTGGGGAACCCCGAAGAATACCCTATAGTACATTATAGCATATACTGTGTTGAGCACAAAATATACACAGTTTCTTATATCCTTATTATTCACTGTGGACTAGCACCATGTCTGTAAGAAACACAGAATCCCATGCAATATCACAGACCCACTGAATTAGGATCTATATTTTAAGACTATCTCTAAGTGATTTGTGTGCACATTGAAGTTTCAGACACACTACCTTGTAACTACATGTTCCCAAAATACATGAGGAGATTGAGAAGGAAAGGTTGTGATGTAAGGGTCATGCCAGTCTCAGAAAGCTGGAAATCTAAAATTCCTAAATTCCTTTTGCCTGTCCAACAGTGTGTGAAGACACTCATCCATCGCTTCTTGCATATTTTAAAGTTTGCTCCTTGTCTATAATTGAACACACAGTGAGCAAGGATGAATGACTGCATGACAGAGGTTGTAGATCCACATTTCTTGGTGCCCGATGATCACTCTTAATTCAGTTGTGCTAACAATATGGAAACTGCTTAGTAGGACTAGCTTTGACCCTTTTATTGGCTGTTTTCCACTCATTTTGATACAAAGGGGAAGTAGTAATCTAATAATTGTTCACAGGCAGCTATAGAAGATGCAGACATTGCTAAAATTCTGGAATTGTCACCCGATGTCTTGATTGTAGGTCAGTTGATGCAGAAAAGTCTGAATTCTGCTCTGATTCAAAGCTGAGGCAGTGGCTCTTCTCTTAGTGAAGAGAGTTGTGGCTCTCAGCTCTTGTCTGCTTAGCTCACGGCAGTCCCTTCCTTTCCATTCTTTCTCTGCCAAGCACACTAAACTGGCAAGATTCGATGGTGGCCTTGGTGAGAAGGATGCTGTTTACACTGTATGGTGACAGCTGGACACACGGTAGTTTACTTTAGCTCAGATGTCTCTTCTTGAGGCAGAACCAGCCATAATAACAGATTCCAAGGAAAGCTGCATTTCTGCTAGTCCAGGAGTATAAAAAATATAGACTCAAAGGCATGTATTGATTTTTCTTTTTTTTATAAGTGAACTCATTGCTTTGGGTTATCTTTCCTGAGTTCTAAACTTGTGTTTGTGCTCAGTTCACTGCTGGCAAGGAACCCTTGTAGTTATGAGGAGGGAACACGGGAACCTTGTGCTCCTTCCCTGTGAGTCCAGCCTCGTCCATTTCGATGCGTGTGACAACGCCATTCCTTCATCATTACTGGAGGATTAGCCTCTGCTGATCTTGAGCAAAAGGCTTCTCAAGCAACTAAGAAAATGATGCTGTAAACTGCTAGTGATTTGCCCAGATCCATGTATCTATTTTTCACTTCCTTAGTTTTTGGAAGCTCTGTCCGTTTCCATAGTTTCCATTGCCCTGTCTGTGTGGTCAAATCTCACGTCTAGGCCTCAGATGCTGACCTCCCTCCTGGACTCTGAGCCTGCCTCACATCACACCTTTATGTCCTGCCAGCACCCTAAATTCATGATTAAAATGAATTCACGAATGATTTCAGTTTTGTTATTGTTGGAAATACAGCTGCAAGGCTCC